GGAGGCATCCCCACTACTCCACCCTAGATCGCCACCGATATCGTGTCGTATGTAGCCCGCTTAAGGGTTGTTACCTTCTCATCCCTACCTTCTAAGCCCTCGCAGAAATAAGAAGTCTGTGCCCAGCATTGGTACATATTTTTTTTATACAAGTTAGGGTGACAAACAAGCACACAGTCCACCTGATGGTAAGTGGTTGCTGCGGCCCATAGACATCTACATCTATCCTCGACTACGAATCAAAATGCCAATGCGTTGTCACCCGTGAGGACTAAGATGGAATGCCTCGTTTCCAGTATAAAGGGGTATCTGGTTATCTACACTCACCATACGAAACACAGCAGCGTTAAGCTACTATTTCACGCTGGTATTCTGTGGGAGCGTGGTCCTTCCCCGGTCGAGCGGATCCATTCGTGCATACTACTAATATAACTGCAGCATGGTTCTACCACGTATATATGTAGTAAGTTACTTTTTTAATAGCATTTGACCTGCAATATTCTGTGCATTTAAGATAAAACTAAAAGTATACGCTGTCCGTCCACAGGCGAGAGTGCAGAGGGACGCCGTCATAATCCCGCCCTAATGCCCTGTCCTCTGCAAGGGACATTTCCATTTATTATTGAGCACTTAATTTATGTGTTTTGTTATGGACCAACAAATGGAGCGGTAACTAACCAAACGACCCAGTTTACATTCCAAGCGTTACTATAGTTTAAACCGAAATAAAAGTGAACAAGGTTGGTATTGGGTTGCGAAATAACGGTAAATATAATTTTTTAGTTCATTCCGGAAAAATTTACTCTGTGGAACGTTTAAAATTGATACATATAAATGAGTAAGAACTCAATGCAAGGAACATTTAACGTTGCATTTTAGGTGACAAGTTTAATTCCACTTAAATCTTTTACGTTCGAAATTCATAAAATTTTAAAAAGACAAGTCTTCTCAGAGTATTGCGAATCTAAATTTTCGGAAGTGAACGTAAAGTCTATATTAGAATGCTATGCTTCTTCACGTAAGACACTACAATTTTTCAATTGATCGCTTAAGAATTGTTTAGACAATGAACGTTGTACGCGGCAATCCGTTCGTTTCAGAGCCAGGTTTTGTTTAAGAAGGGGTGAAATGACATTTGGGATAATAGTAAATCCGGAGAGTTTGAGGTCATTTTTCAAAATAACTGAGCACATGTTGGGGCCAATTACTGGGAAGTCTACATCCATTTAAAAATTTAAATAATTTTAAGATAGGTACTTTGGAGTATGCAAAATAATTCTGAAGGTTTTTTAAAAAAAATAGGAATTGTGAACACTATTTAACTGTTTTATGCAAAAATTATTGCACTAATTTTATAAAAGACAATCATACTGTACTAAGAATTAAAAAAAATTATATTATTATTTTGATTATTTGAGTTTCATGTTCGTAATATGTTTGTATAAAATTGAAGAAAAATCTCTTCGGTTGTACTGTTTGTAACTTTGACCACTTAGGAAAAATTTAGAGAACTCAGATTTTTAACTGTTTCGGTCTCTTCAGAATTCTTTCGGCAGTGTTAGATTTACATCAATTTTTTTGATCAAAAATATTTTATAATTATTATATATATATATAATATATATAATTATTAATAATTATTAACCAAATATTTCTACAGCACCGGGATTATGTCACTACTTACAAGTTATCGCACAAAATGACAGATATATGTTATAAATGGCACATATTTTTGGTAGAGCCATGCTGCAGTTATATTAGTAGTATAGTTGTAGCACGAATGAGTCGGCTCGACCAGGAAAGGACCACGCTCTCACAGAATACCAGCGGCAAATAGTAGCGTAATGCTGCTGTGTTTCGTATGGTGAGTGTAGAGAACCGGAGACCCTTTTTACTGGAAACGAGGCATTCCATCTTAGTACTCACGACTGACAACCCATCTGCATTTTGATTCGTAATCGAGGATAGATGTAGATGTCTATGGGCCACAGCAACCACTTACCATCAGGTGGACGGTGTGCTCGTTTGTCACCCCGTCCTATAAAAAAAAAACATATACATATAAATTATAAGAGCACACAATAAAGATTTTAAAAAAAGAAACTTTCCCCGACCTTATAAGTATGTAACTATTTCTTTACTCGATAAGAAAAGATTTTCAATCGTTTTTTCTCTTTTTTTATGATTAATTATGATGTGAAATTAGTCTAAGTTTATCATATTACTTCAAATGACTTAAGAACTCACTTTTCTACAATTTATACAAACAAGTCGAAATAAAATTCGTGTAAGATAAAAAATTTAAAGTTATATATCATAATACTAGGTACATGTACTTTCACACATCACCAAGCAGAGGCCTTACATTTTCAAGGCCATACTACCCAGTTATAGGTACATATGTATAGCTCTAGTGGGTTTTGAGATCAATCCCTATCATAAAGGATTTACATTTCATTATTAAATCACGTATTGAGAATCAAAACGCAGACACATTGTCACCCCTGAGGACTAAAATGGAATACCTCGTTTCCAGTAAAAAAGGGTCTCCGGATCTCTACACTCACCATACGAAACACAGCAGTATTAAGCTGCTATTTCACGCTGGTATTCTATGAGAGCGTGGTCCTTCCCCGGTCGAGCCGACCAATTTGTGCTACTACCATAATATCGCTGCAGCGTGGCTCTACCACGTAATATATATATACATATATATATATATATATATATATATATATATATATCTTATGGATGATTAGCTATTCACCACCGTGCGATTTACTAGAAGTTTCTTCTAAATTAACCATCCGCCTTACTCACCATCTAGCCCCAAGCGACTTGGTTTTTGTTCCCTCATCTGTTACACTCGGAGGACAGAGATTTTCATCAAATGAGGAGGCCGAGTAGGGGAATCCGGGAGACTTGCCCAGGGAGGAGACTTGAACCGACTCTGATTTCTCATTTGAATTTTCGCGCTAACAGCCTGATTGCCCACTATTAAGGTGATCAGGTGGCAGCCAATCACGAGCATTCAGCCATTTTGACAAAATTCATACGCGTTGGATCTTGACCGGCATATACCTGTTTATCTCATTCTCAAGTAAATAAAAATAGAAAATCTGTTTTGATCGCTGTGAATCGATTAATGAAGGTAAGTAAGATTTAGTTTTATTATATTATCGCATGATTATCGTATTTGAATGTGTGTACAATGACATTTTATTGCAAATTGTGGTATCTGAGTAAAGCAAGCTAGAATCCGGAAAGGGGGGAGATGGGGTGGGAGATTTGAACCACTTAGTCGATATGACCATTGGTTCAAGTCTCCCTTCAGTGGCTACAGCTGCATCTGTTGACTGTTGCTAAGTTAAGTGCTCTTTTTATATTCCAGGACGAAGATGTCGTTTCAATACAAACCCCAAGGCACTACCCGTCGCAGAAAATTTACAAAGCGTGACCTTGAGCAAGCTATTAGTGAGATTCAGGGAGGTGCTTCTATTAGAAAAACAGCCATTAAATATGACATTGATAGAACGACTCTAATAAAATAGAAGAAAAAGGTAGTCAGTACAAAAGCTCGCAGATTTTTGACAATAGGGAAGAAAAGCAATTAGTAAACTACCTTTTGGCATGCAGTAAAATGCACTATGGACTGACGAGAAAACAAGGCACGCAATTAGCCTTTGATTATGCAAATAATAAAAAAATACCTCAAAGTTGGACAAATAACAATTTTGCTGGAAAAGATTGGTTCTGAGGTTTCTTAGCTATAAACCCGGAAATAAGCTTAAGGACGCCTGAAGCCACCAGTTTGTCGCGAGCTACAAGTTTAAACAAAAAAAATGTAATAGACTTTTACGAAAACTTGAAGCAAGTGCGAGAAAAGTATAATTTTGAGCCACAAAGTATATATAATTGTGATGAAACTGGCTGTACTACTGTCCAACAATGCCCCAAAGTATTGGCAAGTAAAAAAGCCAAGCAAGTAGGACATGCCACTTCTGCTGAAAGAGGTACTCTAGTTACAGTCTGCTTCGCTGTAAACGCCATTGGAAATGCCATGCCTCCTTTTTTCATATTTCTGCGTGTTAAATACCGACCTGACTTTGTTAATGAGGGACCTAAAGGGTCTGATGGAGATTCATACATTACGGGTTGGATGACTGCCAAGAGCTTCCTAAAATTCATGGAACATTTCAAAAAGCACTCCCATGCATCGAAAGTTGTGTTATTAATATAATAAGTGTTATTAATTCTTGATAACCACGAAAGCCATGTGAGCATCGAAGTGATAAGTTATGCAAAATCCAACGGCATCACATTGCTTACACTTCCGCCTCATTGCAGCAATAAGTTGCAACCTATGGATATCGCTGTGTATTCGTCATTTAAATCGAGATATAATACTGCGTTAAGCAACTGGATCCTTTCAAATCCTGGAAGGACAGTAACAATATACCAAATTCCTGGATTCATCAAAACGATTATGTCGCAAGCATTCAGCCAAGCCAACATTTTAATCGGATTCAAAAAATCGGGAATACATCCTTATAATGATAATCTATTCAGTGATGAAGATTTCATGTGTTGTGCTGTAACAGATAGGGATATATCCAATGAAAATTATGAACTTCCCAGTAGTTCGTCTCAATGTCTCAGCTTGTCTTTTCAAGCGCTCAGCAAGATCCACCAGATTTTCCGCAGAGCTTCAACGACGTTGATCAGAAAATTCCGTCAATATCTCAACAGATCCCTAATGATGAAGTTCAGGACCCTCCATCTAGTCCCGTGCTTGATTTAAATAATGTTTCGCTTCTGGATTTTCTCTGACAAATAACCAACTAAACCCTCCAGCTCAGAAAAGTCCGCAAACCTCTGACAAAGTCTTAAAAAGCTTTTCACATGCACCATCAGACTCTGAACTAAATTCACTCAACTGTTCTAAAGTTTATCCTGAGAGCCTGCTGAATTGTTGCCTCACTAAATTGAATGACATTCTCATGGCTAAATTAAATTGTAATTTAGAAGTTTCTTTTCATCAGTGCCAAGAGACTGATATAAATTATTATTATCCTCCGAATTCACCTATTCTGACACAAAAGCTGGATATTCCGCAAACTCCAGACCATATTACTAAAAAAGTAACTATTACACCAGAAATAATAAGGCCATATCCAAAAGCTGCACCCCGAAAGACAACACGGCATGGACGACAACCTGGAAAAACAAAAATTATAACAAAAACTCGTGAAAAAATTACAGATGATGATTCAAATGAAATTCTTAAGAAAACAACAACTAAGATAAAAGGTGACAAGTCCTCAAAAACTAAAGTTAAGAAGAATATTAAAAGAGGAAAGAAGGTAGACACAAAAAAGCAAAGAGGCAAGTTTTACAAGAAAAGAACAATGACACAGATTGTGAAGATGATTTTAAAGCAGATTAACAAAATGAAAGAAAAACTATAGCAAGGGAAAATAAAATAAAAAGAAACAAAGATACAGGACCAGCAAAAACCAAAAAAAGGAAAATAAATAAACAACAGAAACGTTCTCGCACGTTAACTCGCTCAATTGACAGTGAATCTGAAGAAAATTATGACGATTGTATTCCTTATGCTAATAGCTCTAATGACGGTGACTGGGAAGGGGAAGGAGTAGCAGAGTTGGATACTCGTTGGTATTGCTTTATTTGTGGTACTTAAGAACTCTTGGATATGCGTCTTTGTATTTCTTGTAAAAGGTATGTCCACGAGGAATGTGTAGGGCTAACTATTAACGATTCTGAAAAATTCATGTGTCCAGAATGTGATTAATTCATTAAAAATACTTTAAGGGTGGATATAAGTACCACAAACAATTTTGACTGACCTTGATCTCTAATTACGATGTTACTTTTATAAGTGCCTTATTATAATTAAGACTGATTATTGATTTCTTTATAATTATAGCTACTTAAGAGTAAGTGACATTCATAAAATGTCAAAACTGTTTTTACGTTTTGTTAATTGATTAAAATAATGACAAAAACTTTGATATTTAAATTGTTTTCCCAGTAACATAAAGTATGGTTAAATCTTCCCAACCCTATGGCCAAATGTCCCATGGGGAGATTTGAACCATTTCTGACTTTTTAAAAAAAGTTACATAATTCTTAGTAAATAAAAGTTATCATAACATTTGTACCACCAATCGAAACCTATTGAATTAAACAATCCAAGTGTTAAAAACTGAGATATCTAAAAGAAATCAGTAAGATTTTACAGTTATTTTTGTAAAAGGGGGTTCAAGTCTCCCGGATTCCCCCTACTATTTGGACGGGTTAGAAAGATGGGAGCATCGCTGGGAGAATTACGAGGAGACTAGAAAAATGAAAATAATTTTTTTTTAAAAATTCTTGTATCACACTATAATTTTTAAATATAGTACGTAAGGGTAATATGGTCATCCGGTTAATATGGTCACTTAAATAAAACTCAGAAACTAGAGCTTTGTTTGCATCGATGGCTCTATGATACGATAGCTCTTTATCAGTCAATCAAATAATAAAGGGTCAAAAGTGTGCTGCTTTATCAACGCCACTTGGACACTACATTATATTAAACATTTGGGTTGATATTAGTATTGTGTAGTGTACTTAGTTTTCTTTAAGTTGATTTTTCGAAGTGTTTCTAATTATTGCCAGAACTAGTTTGCTATTTCTTCCTTAATATATAAATTATAGCATATTATTTTGTGTTTTTTTTCTCTGTCCTCTTTCGAGTTTTGGTTTTATACCGGTTATTATTTATTATTTTTTGGCGGTAAAGCTTAAGGTACCATATTACCCTCTCGTACCTTATTACTAAATTATTGCAGCTCGTTATATCAACTAGTACGAGCAATGTCCACATTCTCAAATAATGAAGTAAAATATAGCAGCATAACGATGCTGTGATCCATATAGTAGTTTGTCTCTGTCCTCCTCCATGTTTATGGTTTTATAGGGCAGTAAAGTTTAAGGTGACCATATTACCCACTCGTACTTTATTACTAAATAATTGCAGCACGTTATATCAACTAGTACGAGCAATGTCCACACTCTCAAATAATGACGTAAAATATAGCAGCATAATGATGCTGTGATTCATATAGTAGTTTGTCTCTGTCCTCCTCATGTTTATGGTTTTATAGGGCGGTAAAGCTTAAAGTGACCATATTACCCTCACGTACGTTATTAATTTACAATATTATATAAGTTTAACAGATTTCACAATAATAAAGAAAGATATGAATATAAATGTAAAGTACCAGCAAAATATATATGACTCAGCTGGTAACAGCTCTAATATAATATTCAAAGGTATAAGTGCGCTTTAAATTCACAGCCCACATAAGCCTATGAAAGCATAAAAAATCAAGAAATTTTCATGTGAACCGAAACACATGTAGAATAAACAGACGATGTAGGTAGATACTTACAAAAATATGAAATTCACCACAACATTTGCTAGGGACGGGCGACGGTACGGATAGCAAAAACACAAATTTATTTTATTTTGGTAAATTTTCAAAGAATAACAATTGGTCTAACTTGTTAATTAACTGACAAAGAGTAAACCTTCCACGTAGTGCGGCATGGGTTATATTTTAAATTAAAAAATATATATATCTACTTTAACGATAAATAAAATGTAATTTTTTATTTATCATTTTTACTTCACAATTTACTATTTATTAATAAATTTATTTATAATTTCATATATTTTACATAGAGAGTAGAATATTAAAACGCAAAAATAAAATGGCGGGTAAAACTCGAAACATCGCACTAGTAGGGCAGCGAACAAAAATCATTCCACTTAGCTACGAATATTTTATTGGTAATCTGGTGTGGTTACGTTCCATTACGGTTCCTTAAGAAAATGTTAAAAATATGGAATAAGTTGCTAGGGTAGATATCACCCGTATATCTACCCTAGCAACTTATTACCATCCGTTATTTAGCTGAGATTCTAGAGCTTTCGTTTGGGACAATTTAGCTTATTTTCACTCATTCCGTTAGGTTAGGTTAAAATTCAAAAATGTTGGCGCGCGCTCCGTTCCTAGAATGTTAAGAGATGTCCTAAAGAAAGCAAGAGTTGACATAAAAAATCTTTGTTAATCTAAGTATGGTATTTTCCAGTGACGCTACCTATGATTTTTAGTCGTGTTGCTGTAGATTTGGATACTTCCTCCCCCTCCCCTCCAAAAGGTTTCTCGCCTTGTCGTGGCTTAGAAGCTAAGCAGCCATGGCTTATTCACCCATAGTGAACTAAGAGAAACCCACATAGCTGGCCAGAGGTGAAGGACCGATCAGAGGTGGCCAATATGAGTGGGTTCAGCGAACCCATTTCATATGTGCATTGTTAGGCTGTGGTGAGAGGGGCGTCCCGTCTCTTTACCTCCGCATCCGAGGTGGAGTCGCGGAGGAAGAGAAATGTTGGTATGGCGATGTGCTACTCACCCAAACCACCGCCACACCGTTAATAAGGTGGTGGTGGAGCTGCGTGGGGAGAGGAGTGTAAATATTGAGAGGGGCCGCTCTCCAAAACTTCGCAACTGAATCTTGGTTGGCGGTGGAGCTATAAATCAGGTGGGCCGCTGGGGTCAGCAAGGCTATTACCTCTGAGTGCGTGTTTTTTTCTTGGCCCAATGATCTTCGCGTATGGGACACGGGGGCATAGATGAAGTTGGAGACCGCGGAGGAAGGCACGCCAAGTATTCTAGTGCGCCTTACCTTACCTGAGAAGGATATGGAGGAAAAGTAGTCCCCCGTCTAGGAGGACAACTGGTGCTGGCGGGACTGCAGATGCGTTCCCGTGGCTCTGCCCATTTGTGGCGTAAGTGGAACGCCATGGGGTTTTAGTACAGTCCCATGAAAAAATTAAGGTATCGTCGATATTGTGGTTTTATGTTATGCTCTATATGTAGTTTATTTCGCTATTTTATGGTATTTTGCGGTTGTTCATGGGGGTCGGTAGTCGCTTACCATCAGCTGAGGCACATGCTCGCTTGCCCACTCTTCTATAAAAAAATGTGTACATCCTCTATCTCATTATTATTAATAATTATATAATAACCTACTACTTACAGTTTGTGTTCTCCAACGAATATGTAACATAAGGGTGACAGAATTGTTACTGCATCTCATGTACTCTTACAAAAAACTTCAAACAAAAAAGGTCACAGATGCATTGTCGGCCGTTAGGATATTATATCCCACAGCCTGTTAATATGCTGGCTATATAACTTGCTTTAACTATCTAGGAAGCCCTAACTACCACCTATTAAAACGTGTTTCTATCAAGTGCATAATAAACTTTCTAAGCTACGTAAGGGATGATATTAATACAACGTTTTTTTCGAGTACGATAAGTAACTATAACTGCATAGAGTAAGATATAACTGTAACAAGTGCAGTAAATTATCATTACACATTCATTTCAGAAAATAACACTTCTTGTTTTACACAATATTGGTTCCAACTTTAGTTAAAATCTAGTACCTGATATTGACTGTTTATTTTTAAAACAGGCCAAAATTTGACCTTTAATTCTGATGTTAATACGGTCCCAGATAGTAAACTTGCTAGATCAAAAAAATCCCTTTTACTTAAAAAGTCTAAAGCCTTGAAGAACCCTATATTATAGTAGTCAGTTAAGGTTAATCCAGGTTATGAATTCGAATTCCTTCTCTGTCAACAAAAGGATGATATCAAAACGTATACATCAAGTCACTCGGTGTCAAAGCTTAAAAAAATTAGGCGTAAAATTAGCGAAAATTAGCCTACTACTCCAAAATGTAGAACACCTAAAACTGACAAGACGCGCTTGTATTCGAATCTGAGCAGATAAGCCTTTAAAATTAAACTTTAAAAATAACCTCAAATAAAATAAGTATTATGAAACGACTTTCCACTCATCCAGATCAGCCAGTTAATATTGAAAAGTACCGGGGCAGATATGGCAATAGCGGTTGATTAGATTTGAACTCGATAGAAACTGATACCGTGTAAAATTACTTCCTTATTATAATGGAATCTGGCCTGATTGTAAATGTGTATGGGCTCTAATGGTCACTTACAGTAGTTTCATATTTCTCTCTTTAATCACAATTAAACATCGAATTTTTCGTAAAATTATCCTTCGTGAAATTTGTAGGTATTTGACATAGAAGTCGAAGATAACAATTATTACCAGGCGCAAATTGAATTTTAGTACAGCCAGTTATCAAGAAAAGTTCCTGTTTCGTATTTTTACTACTTCACTATTTATGTTATTTATATTCTTTTTGTCTGCTGACGCTACTGCGTTCGCTCGTCCATAATGCGAGTTGATAGGTAGATGTATTAAAAATAGTATACATTAGACGTGAATACGACATAATATGATACGTAAGTTTGATCTGTAAAATGCAAACTGATTACTTATCATTTTGTTAAATCTATT